ATTCAGAGTGCCAGATCAAATGATGATGGCTACGACTATAGTGTTGGTCGCTATGCCTATGGCTATGGATATGGCTGTGTCGTTATGGCTATGGCCTGTCTCTTATACACATCTAGATGTGTATAAGAGACAGTCCTTGGTCCTTGCACGGGCTGGCCACCCGCCACCCGGGCGGCCCGGCTGGTAGCCTAGGTTTCAAAATGAACTATCTTAGCACTCGTCGTGCGCGAGTGAAATGACATCGCCCGGCCTGCATAGCCTTCCAGAGTTAGTTTGCCCAAAAGGCGAGGTGAAATTCATTTGTTGCCATTGATAAAAGTCTCTTCTCTCTTCTACTTTTTCTCGATTAGCTTAAATCTCTCTTTAATTCCTCATTCCCTTTTTTCTTTATTTTCCGCTTTTCTTTCTTCATTTCAAGCTCACATGCCGTGCGTTCGTCATTGCCATGGATGTATCTGCATACAACGGGCAACTGGACAAGCAGCATTGGTGACGCAGCCTCGGCTTTCTTACGACATCCCAAGAAAGGGAGGGACGACGCAGCCTCGCCTTTCTTGCGATGGATTCGAATCGTCACGTAGTCAGAAAACATTTAGGTGCACGATGATATTCGTTGTACGTGAGAAAAAAAAAAGAAAACAAAAACAGATATTCGTTGTACGTGAGAGAGAGAGAGTGCGCATTCAACGTCCGACGTGCACAAGTCCTTTCTTCTCTCAATCTTTGATCGATTCGATTCAGAATCGATCGATTCAGAAAGCATTTAGGTGCACGATGATATTCGTTGTACGTGAGGAAAAAAAAAAAAAAAAAGATATTCGTTGTACGTGAGAGAGAGAGAGAGTGCGCGTTTAACGTCCGACGTGCACAAGTCCTTTCTTCTTGCAATCTTTGATCGATCGATTCAGAAAGCATTTAGGTGCGCACGATGGTATGCGTTGTACGTGAGGAAAAAAAAAAAAAAAAAAAAAAGATATTCGTTGTACGTGAGAGAGAGAGAGAGAGAGAGAGAGAGAGAGAGAGAGAGAGAGAGAGAGAGAGAGAGAGAGAGTGCGCGTTTAACGTCCGACGTGCACAAGTCCTTTCTTCTCGCAATCTTTTTGATCGATCGATTCAGAAAGCAATTAGGTGCACGATGATATGCGTTGTACGTGAGAGGCACAGTGGAAGGGGAGTTAAAAGAAGAACTGAGAATTTGAATGGTTTCGATGTGCCCTTGTTTTTTGTTTTTCATCCTTTGTTTTTAGCAAAGTGCGATCTTTTAGGTTTTTTTTTTTTTTTTTTTGCGATCATAGTTATGTGACAATGTAGTATATCACTTACTGTAATCAGGTAGGAGATTCTGCAGACGGTTTTTGAGGGTTCAGCCTCCTCCTGATGAGTCGGTAGGTGAGACTCCGATGATGAAACAGTCTGTCACAGCCCCTCTCGCTCGTTTGCTGTCCTATTCTCCCTCCTCCCTCCTCCCTCTCTCTTCCTACGAGCTAATTCCTTTTTTTGGCGGCTCTTTGTATCATCTGTGAATGCAAAAAATGAGCAGGTTGGAAATGAGCCTAGCGGCGATTCCATGATTTCTCTCGTGCCCGCGATGAAGAACCTGCATGCGGCATTGGCGTCCTTCGGTTTGGAGAAGATAATGTTGACGTCGCCATTAAATATGAACGTTTTGGCCGCTAGCTACCCGCCGAGCGAAGGTCGATTTCAGGAGGAGCTCGTGCCGGTGATGCGCGAGATGATGCAGTTTTTGAACGAGACGGGATCCCACTTGACCGTCAACGTTTATCCGTTTTTCCCGACCTATTTGGACCCCTCTATACCCCTGAGTCTCCCGTTATTCAGGGGTGAGGAGGGGTATTACGACGGGGAGTTCCACTACACAAACATGCTGGACGCGATGGTGGATGCTGTGGTGTGCGCCATGGAGAAGGAGGGGTTTGCTAATTTGCCATTGGTGGTAGGCGAGGTCGGGTGGCCGACTGGCGGCGACGCGATCGCGACCGTGGAAAACGCGCGGGTTTTCAATAATTACCTTGTCGGACACGTGGTGAGCGGGCAAGGAACTCCTCGACGACCGGGTCGGATGCAGATGTACATCTTTGAGCTGCTGGATGAGGATCTTAAACCCACAGAGATCGGCCCATTTGAAGTCTATTGGGGTCTGAACATGATGAACGGGACGCCCAAGTACGAGATCGACCTGACGACGGGATGGTCACCGGATCTGACAAGGAGGGAGAAGTGGTGTGTGGCTTTGCCGATTCTCGATTCCGCGGCGGCGAAGCGAGCGATAGATTGGGCATGCGGGCAGCCGTCGATGGACTGCGCGCCGATTCGTGCGGAGGGTTCTGGTTGTCGTGTGGGCGCCGACACGTCGAGAGATGCGGCTGCTTGGCGCCAGATGGCCGGATACGCAATCAATCTGTACTACCAGTCGAGGGGGCAAGCCCCCAACGCCTGCAGTTTTGAAAACTTGTTCCAGGTAACGACAACGGACCCATCGACTGCCACGTGTAAGCATCCGGGAAGACCGGATTCCTTGGTCATTCCACAGCGCAATGCCAACGAAACGACAGGTCGAGGGGAGGAGCCACCGCCAGCAGCAGGAGGAGGAAGGATAGATGGAGTTGTTGGGGGAAGGAGAGGAGGAGCTGGAGCCGTTGAAGGAGGGAGGACGGGTGCAGGGCACTCGGATGGCGATGCTGATGGACACGTGTCGTCTTGGTGCGTCGCCGCGCCAGGGACGTCAACGCCTGCGCTTCAGAATGGCCTTGATTGGGCTTGCGGCCCTGGAAGAGTAGATTGCAATCCCATCAAGATCGGGGGTGATTGCTTCTTTCCCAACACTGTGCGGGATCATGCCTCCTATGCGTATAACACGTACTATCAGAGGGAGAACAAGCAGCCTCAAGCGTGCGCGTTTGGCGGCACGGCTGTTGTCGTGCATGAAGACCCGTCGAATGGAAAATGCGTATACCCGGGTAGGAATGCAACAGAGTCCTCTCCCCTCACTGCCTTCAGCTCTCTCATGCCTACCATCTCAGAGCTTAAAGTCGATAGTACCGTTGAGCACAGCGATGGTCTTTCTTATAATGATGCAGACGACGATGTTATTCTTGATGTTGGTGTTGTGTATCGTACTGATGACAACGACGAGGAGACTTGGAAAGCAGGCGAGGAGAGATCAAAGGGAGAAGGAGAAGGTGGGAACGAGGAGGAGGAGGTGATGGTACCCGCGTTTTCACATGCCCCTGGTACAGTGGAACTGATGCGGGGAGTGAACGATCCGGTTTCCACATTCCCCACGTCGTTTGTGAGCAGAGAAAAAGACGAAGTCAAGGAGAGATGGTTGTGGGGGGGGGTAGAGGAGTAGTAGAAGGAGAAGTTGGAGGAGGGAGGGAGGGGGGGGCGGGGGTTGGATGCAAAAGGTGCGGAAAAAAAGGCCCCTTTCTTGAGGTGAGGTCTTTTAGCAAAAGGTGAGTTGTGCGGTGACAGATCGAGACGACAAAACACAAGTCGGAACGAGACGAAGGGTGGTTGTATGGAGGCTGCGGTGTAATAAATGGGAGGCTCAGATGGAAGGAGGTGTTTTTTTTTTCGAAGTGGGGGTACTGATTCTGATCCCCGCTATTACTTAGCTGATGCGAGGAATGGGACTAGGTTGGGATCGGGTTGGGACCAGGTTGGGACCAGGTTGGGAGGGATGGGACCAGGAATGGGACCAGGTTCCAGCTGATCAGTCCCGTTGAAGAGGACAGGAGAGAGGTGGTTAGTGAGATCTTCACTGCTGCCTGTATCATCTGAACACGGTCCTCCACTTCACCTCCCTTCTCTCTTTCTCCTCCTCACAGTGCTCACACTCCTCCTCCTCTTTCCAGACCTGTGTTTTTGTTCAGTCTTGTTTCATCGATCGCTTCTTCTTCTTGCTTTTATCCCCTCACCCACACTTTAATGATGCTTCCTTTTTTATTTTTTTCTTCCTTTTTGGTCATTGTATGTATGTGGTTTGTTATGCATTCAATTTGTTGTTCTTTGGGCGGTCGATCGCGTTGCTGATGCCGCTCACATTTATGATTTTTTTCAGATTGATTTGTCGATTGAAGTCGATCATGATTGCGATTTATTGAGCCATTGCTAAACTATTGATTGATTCAATTGTCATTGTTTATGCAATTGATGTATTGACTGATTCTTTCTTTTCGATCGGAGATCGATCCAAGTGATTGATCAATTGATCGATTGTTCACTAACGAAACGGAACGGTGGAGCACCGTTTGGCACCGTTTGGCACCGTTTGGCACGGTTTGGCACCGTTTGGCACCGTTTGGCACCGTTTGGCACCTTTTGGCACCGTTTGGGCTGCTACAAAGCTTGCCTTCTCGAGACTAGCAGCTGCACGAGATCATCGGCTGATGTGACCTGTAGGTTTTGAAATGGGACACAGGAGGAGGAAGTTTTCCCTCTCTCTCTTCCCCCCCTCTTCGCCCTTCTCTCTCCGGGTCTTTCTGTCTAGCTTTCTCTGTCTACCTCTTGTATGTGTGTCTAGCTGCCCCTCTCTTTCTTCCCGGCGTCTTTCTGTGACACTCTGCGTGTGTGTGTGTGTGTGTGTGTGTGTGTGTGTGTGTGTGTGTGTGTGTGTGTGTGTGTGTGTGTGTGTGTGTGTGTGTGTGTGTGTGTTCACTTTTTGCGTGCGCTATCCCTCTGATCGTCTCATTAGATCCACCCGCTCTGCCGCTGTGGGTATATCATAAGCGGGAGGGTGCGGAGGGAGGAGGGAGGTGGTTTGTTCCCTCGCGGTTTTTCTTATTCTGATTACTGGACCTTTCCCTTCGATAGTTATCTGTAGACCCAGTCCAATGCTGGCATAATCTCAAGGAGAGGAGGTATTGTCACTGAGCAGAACCTATCTTCTTACTTCTCTTTCCGGATATGTACAAGGCTGATGCAAACGTATGATTTATCGGTTTTGCATGCGCAAAAGAGGGGAGGAAGAGTACTTGCAGGTAGAGGTAGGTAAAGCTACCTTCTCCCTTCTCCCTCCCGATAGAGATCTCGATCCCGTTAGTCTCATACAGGTCATAAACTTTCAGCCTCGATTTCCGGATACAGTGCGGCAACAGAGATTGTCGACCTCAAAATTATTCTTTTTCTAACAAACAAACAAAAAAAAAAACAAAAAAAAACGATGGCAATTGGAGCAATAAGTTTCAAAAAGAAGAAAAAGAGGAAGAAAAATCATGGAACAAAAATAAAACACACACACACACACACACACACACACACACACACAAACACACACACTCAACGCTGTGGATGGTGATAATGTGAAGCACCTAGTCTCACTACGACTGTGGACGTTTTTGACTGCAATTACAGCCAGATTCGTTGGGATAATGTAGTGTGAAGTGGCCAAAGACCGTCAGCGCATCGAATCAGACGAAGACCCGTGTTATGAAAGGAAAGAAGCCGTTCCATCATGTGCAGCACAACATCATCGCATGTAGAACGGACTTGTCCTCGTCGTCATTGTCTAGTCGTTTACCTCATCATCACTGTCATCATGACGTCAGCCAGACCATTTCCAATTAGTCCCTTTCTTGTTTCAAGTTGCCATTGCCGTCATCTTCGAGTGTTTACCTCATCATTGCCGTCATCTTCTAGTGTTTACGGCATCATTGCCGTCATCTTCTCGTGTTTACCTCATGATTGCCGTCATCGTCTAGTGTTTACCTCATCATCACCGTCAGCGGCGTCAGGTCAGCCAGACTAATTGCGCTTAATAGGAGCACCTCATCCTTTTTTTTTTTCTTTTTTTTTTTTTCCTGCTGTCATTGGCTGGTAGTGATGGATGTTCCCTCGCCGCTTGCCCTGCCTGGCAGTGGCTGCTGAATTTGTGGTCGCCCGGCCTGGCAGGGCTGATAGGAGCACCTTGGCATATGGGGAAAGAGTGAGGAAAGCGCGCACCCACTCAGTCCCTATCTGTCTGCACGGTCTCATTGGACAAAAAAACAATGACGGGAGCTTCCATTCTATCTTTATTGCATACCTGCTGTACCAGGTGCATCGCTTTGTACCAGGTGCATCGCTTTCTACCAGGTTCAGCATTGTGTACCAGGTTCAGCGGTCTATACCAGGTGCAGCACCCACCGTGACGGCCACACTTAGTCGATCTTGCTTTCTATCTGTACTGCACGTCTTCTGGACAAGCTGCTGCTTCTTGTTCCAGGTGCAGTGTTCTCAGTTCTGTACCAGGTCCAGCGTCCTGCACCAGGTTCACTCCTGGTTTGCCAAGGGATTCACACAGGGTCCTCCTGACCAGGTGCAACGCTCACTATCTGGATAAGCGCAGTACCGGGGGCAGCATCCTGTACAACGTGCGGCGTCCTGTACCAGGTGCACTGTCCTCTTTTCTTTTTTTTTTTTTTTTTTTTCCCTGCACTGCCCTCTACCACGTGGAAGTGCTACTGATCGATCTTAAACTTTCTTTCTTTCTTCGCTGCAGGTCTTCTGTACCAGGTGCAGTATTCCGTACCAGGTCCAGCGTCCTGCACCAGGTGCACTCCCTTTTTTCCCAAGGGATGCACCCAGGGTATATGAGCGTATTAATTGCTTAGTCGTGGCAGACTTGGTTGCTATGTCGACGGCGACCTGGTGAAGGAACCGCCTTGTCCTCGTCTGTCTCATTTGCCTGTGAAGGAAATGTGGAAAAGCGGAAAGTAACAGACAGCCTGTATGGACGAGTGTGTGGTGTGGGGTTGTCTCTGCCTCAAGGGCCGGTTTTGTGCGTGGTTCATCTGCCTCGAGGACCTGTTTGGTGTTTGGGTCTTCGGGCAGGAGATGATGGAGAGTAAGATTAGATGACGTGCGGTGGGTGGGGTGGGATAAGCACAGGAATTAGTGGGGTCTAATGACAGAGCGCGTGTAGCTAACCTGTCCATCAACTAAGTCATCTCCATGTGTGCTGTCAAAAGGCAATGTAGCGAGTTACTTCACCTTCGCTTGCACCAGGAAACTCCTCTCTCTCTCTCTCTCTCTCTCTCTCTCTCTATATATATATATATATATATATATATATATCTTCCCATTCCCCTCCCACACCCTGTCCATCTCTCCAAGTGTGTCTATCTGTCTCTAGTTGTGACATGCTTCGGACCTTGGCTGAAGTTGTGCTCCGTGTCATCTCTCCCTCTCCCTTTTTACTCTTCCTCTTTTTCTCTCGACGTCCCTCTCTTTTCTGTGTGTTCTTCCCATTCCACACCGTCATCCTCCGTCTGGCTCCGTCATCCTCTCTTCCCCCCTTCTCCCACCTATATTGTCTTATCGCCCTGCTTACCCAGGTGTGGAAGGGTGACCTAAATGCTAAATGCTCCCTGCTCTGCTTACATCTCTTGCCCACCGACCCTCCGCATCTCCTGCCTCGAGCATTCTCCAGCGCATGGCTCTGTTCGCATGTGTGCTAATAAGTGATTAAGCTACGGTCAGGCTCTCAATCATGGTAATGATGATGATGATGATGATGATGATGATGATGATGTCTGTCAAAGCAAAGCTAATTGTTGTTGTTGGTATGTCTGTTTGCGGTCTTGGTGTGGCTGTCTTGTCCTTTCTGCCTCATCTTCTTGTGCATCTCTTTTGCGTCAATCTACGTAGGCCTCGTCGTTACGTCTAATCACCAAACCTCTGCCGCGAAGACATCTTTCATACCTGTGAAGGTGCAGTCCGGGCACTTTTCTCTGGGTCTACTCTGGGAAGGTGCAGTCGTTGTTTCCACTGTGGCCAGCCTATTGCTTGTTCTTGCATAGTGGTCATGAACTCTCTCATGCATTCTCTTGTGAATCCTTGTGGTGGCAATTCTCGCTTTTGCGATTCACTGGATTCAGCTTCATATTCAGTCGACGGCTGGTCTGTGGTCTTAGTTCACTCTTCTGTACCTGGGCCGGCGTACTCTCCAGGTGCCCACGTACACAAGCACAGATCGGACGAGCGACACATGTTTTGTTTCGAGGGGTACAGATCGCTTGACCGTGGGTGGGTGTCAGGGGTCGTATTTCTGCGCAGATGTGTCCGTTTTGAGGAGTTCAATTCTATTCTGAGCAACGCAATGTGTTGTTGGTTGGGCGACACTCCACATCGGTTTTGCGTGACACGATCTCGTCTGACCGGGATTGGAACAGGGAGCTGTGTCGGTTTTGGGATCCGGTTTGGGACAGGGAGCTGTGTCGGTTTTGGGACCCGGTTTGGGACAC